AAAAACTCCCATGATCCCATGCTACTTCACAACGAAATGTTTATTGTTTAAACAGCAATATCATTGATTGATGTAGTCAGTTTTATTTTTTTTACTACATTTTGTTTTGGGGCTCCGTATTTAACAGCCACCAGATGTAATGTAATTTAAAGTGGGTGTTTAACTGACAAATCCTCTCAGTGTTGCACTTTTTTTTTTAGACTTTAGCGAATTAACCAACAAAGACATGTTTCTATCAAAGGCAAAGAGATAATCTCACTGTTTTGGGACTTAGGACTTTGTTTTTAAATGGAGGGAGTGGAGTTTCCTTGGGAATTAGTAGATTACCCCCATTCCTGACAGATTTGTGGGTTTGAGTAAGCATTATGGACACTCTTCATTAACTCTGTCCCTTTCTAAGAACTGAAACTATGAAGCAAGTCTAATCTGTGAGTCCAAAAAGAAGAATGTGATCTTGAAGCCTTTCTCTTCTCTTTTGAGGTGACACTTTAAATTCTCTCCTCCATTGTCAGAGTCTCTCCCCACAGCTCCTCCTGCGTGCCGCTGAAAGCTGAAAGAGTTAAGAAGATTTGGCAGCTCCGCGGCAACCAGCCAGCCGGTGAGGGAGGAACTGGCTTCCGGTGGACAGAGGCAGGCGGCTCACTTGCCTGGGATTAAGTGGGATCGGGAGAGATTACAGCCCTCTCTCCCTCTCTCTCTCTCTCTCTCACTCTCTTGTTCCCTGTAGCTCGATAGAAGCGTAGTGTTGCGTCCAGTCTCTGGGTGATATTTTCCCATCTTATATACATTTTTCCAGCACCCGTATTGATGCTACAACCTGCAGGAGCTGGAGGATACAAGCTTGTGGCATCATCTAAGGACTCATAAAGGTGAGATGCATTTTTAAAGGGAGATGGCTTGGAGAAAGGCCACGGGGATCATCCTCTTATTTAACTACAGCAACCTCTTGAGGAGCTTGAATCACTTTTCTTTAAGTTACTTCAGCTTGAATGGATCACATCTGTCATCTTGCGCAATTCCAGTATTGTTGTAATGGTTTATTTACAGTCATGATTAGGGCTTTAGAGGCACCTAAACTTAGTTTATCAACTTGTTTTTCCCCCTTTTTGTGTCCTCAATATTAAATTGACTTAATCTTGGTTAACATCTCAGCAGAAGATGCCTAAATATAACTGTTCAAACTGGTGTTGCTTTCTCCTAATGGTTCACCAGCCAAAGATTATGGTCCTCACATCTCTGTGTTTACATCACCGTAGCACTTACAACCCGTCATGAAGTGTGCCATTAACCCCTGACCCTGTTCACACTAACCACTGATGGAGTAACTTGTGTCTGCACCTCCCTACCTGATCCCACTGCACGCTTACGGCCGGATTACCAACCAGGCAAAGTGGGCAAGTGCATATCAGTTGGCAGATCCTGTATTATTAGCTAATCTTGCAGCACTATCTTGTAGAGGTGCCCTAGTTTTCTGACTTTTATTGTTTTATTTTTTTATATATTCTAACATGGTGCATTTTCATAAAGTTTTGTTTATTCAAATTACCACAAACACAGTAAACCTGAGGCCTTCTGGTACATATTTCTCAAAATAATGGGAAAATAAAGAAGATGCCATGTGTAGTTTGCTATGTGTACTGTACTTTGTGGAAACTAAAGAACTGAGAAGTTGTGCAAGTGGTCTTACTCTTAAAATAATGAAAATAATCTTGTTCCTCTGCTGGGATATTTTGCAAACCACTGTTGTTACTGGTTAAAAGGGGCTCAATATTAGCTGTAATATATTATTAAGACAAAGTTAGATGTATTTTCTTAAAACCAGATTACTTTTCTAGTACAAAACATATATAATGCTCAACAAGAATATTTTTCTTTTTAGACAAAAAATAAGACTAATTTCCCAGAAACAAGAGTTGAGCTGTTGAGGAACAGTAAGTTAATCAGACAGTTGTCTACTCTTGCTTCAAAACATTTAACGTTTTTCTTCTTGTTCCTACAGTGTGATGTTTGAATGATGTATGTGCAGAGTCTGACAGTAGAAGGATGTTTTCACATTCATCTGCTGAAAGTGGAAAGTTTCTCTGTGCTCATTGAAAATCAGACATTTAAGTGGAATCACAAATAGTTTGGATCCTAGTCAAATATGCAACAACAATGGACTTTAGAGTGAAGTAGGAGACATTTTGTGTCTGTTAGGAAAACTTTAGAAAGCATATTCATAGATTCTGTCATTTTGAATGAAGTAAAAGAAGTAGATGCCTTTTCACACGTTATTATTTCAAACAGACTATTTGTAAATGTTGTAATACGTCTGGAGGGGATAATTAAGGGATTACCAAAGTTATGACAATTAAACTGGAGGGTTGACATGACTGTGTGGACAAAATCTGATGACCAACCATCCAACAGTTGTTGAGACTTTCTCTACAAGAGCAAAAATGCCAACCTAATGGCCAAAGGATCACTAAGTTCAGCAGCCTTCATCCTCTGAAGACCTTCAACATCTGTACAAATGTTCATGGACAAACAGGAGAGACAAATCCTCAAATACTTTCTATATTTCTGCCTTTTTCTCATCTTCATGTTCTGCTTCTCAAGGACTCTATAAATACACCGCGTGTCTTTAAACATGTTGGGCCTGAAGACTCGTGAAATTACAGCAGAACAAATTGTGCCTGCAGTCCACTGATGTACTGCCAAGCAACAGACATAAGCTCAAGTTGACATTGTAAGCTCTTCACAAACAGGCAGCATCACTTTGGCAAGACAAATTAGTTTTATTGGATTCCCTCAGGGTATTATTGGTATCGTTTAGAGTCAAATATAACCTAATACACCTGGTAAGAGCACTTAAAAGCACGATTTTTCATCAGTGAAAGATCAACGAGCAACTGATTCAGCCTGCGTGTGTCACTGAACCTTTCCTACAGCAAAGACATTTCTCAATGAGACTTCCTTTGAGGGAGTGCATGTCCATACTCGCCTGCACCTGACTGAGACATGGGGAGGTTCAGAGAGCCTCCCATAAACCCATAGAGGCATGTCGTTAATTGCCCTGCCTACACACACTACCACAAAAGCACTACAAAAAGATTCCCAACAAAAAAGCCTGCAGTTGCACTTAAAACACTCGTCTGGATCCTCCCTGCGTGTTTGACCAGAGGGGAGAGCCCATTTCTGTTATAAAATGCTCCTTTCATTGTAAAAAAAAAAAACCCAAGTACACAATGGTTTGGTATTACAGGGCGAGTACACATATTTGGAGAGCACACTGCTGAAGTCAGAGTCTGAATATAACCACAGCTGCTACAGTGGGAGTCAAGCATGTCTGCAGTTGGTGTGGTTATGGAGAGCAGAGCCGAGGCAAAAAATCTCCATCTGATTTCCTTTGCGAGCAGATGACGCTGCGGTTCAAAACTGGATCGCATCCTTGGTCTTTGCAGATGGAAATAAGCACGAGGTATAAATAATAACTCTTTGACACGGCGTTGTTTTATTATCTCCCCGTGACATTTCCATGTTTAACGGCTGCATCTGGTGAACACAAAACACCACGTCAGGGAGAAAACTCGTCTTAAAGCAAAAGTTTAACATTTAAAGGGAAACAGGCGGATGATTCGATGACAACAACACTTTAATATCTGCAATGGTAAAAACGAAGCTACAGCTAGCAGGCAGTTAGCTTAGATTAGCATAAAGGCCTCTAAAAGTCACCAGTTTTTTTGCAGTTGCCAGGCAACCAGCAGGAAGCTGCCGTCTCTGTGCCATGAAACAGTTTTCGAACAAACAAGCTTTAACGTGTTAATTAGTGAGTTCTAGAGGTTCTGATCAGTGGCTTTTGTAACTGATGGAACAGCCAAGTGAAACTGTTTCCCCTTGTTTCTTTATATAAGCTTAGCTAAGCTAACTGGCTGCTGGCTGCAGCCTTCAGTTTGCATTGGCAGAAACTTCATACAGATTTAAATACTTTGTCAGGAGAGTGAACAATAAACAGTGAGGCTGATATCAATGAGATATAATTACAAACAGTACTGCTGGATTTCACACTACAACAGCTCCCCTGTGAATCCTTCATTCGTATGAAGGCAATCTGAAACCCACTGGGCAATGGCGGACCCTGCCACTAACAATGAAAACCACTATATAGAGACATAATTTATACACTGTGTAAATGCATTGCTGATAAGATGCTGACCATAAACAGTACCAAACTTTGATTTTATGAACTTTAAACATGCATTACGTATATGTTTTGGACACTTTGTGGCAGAAATAAGTTGTGATCACATTCATTTCACATCCAGACGTTACAGAGCAACATAATCATTCATTTGAAGTCGTGTTTCTGGCCACCTGATGAATGTATTCACTCTCTTTTAGCTCTGTTTTTGGTCTTCACCCACTCCTGAGGGAAATATCTTGTTCTTTAGCAGTTAAATACTCCACTACATTCACCAGTCTGTCTGCTGGTTGGTGCTCAGCAGCTCAGGTACAGTGTGTTTTTAAGTAGAGTTGTGGTCTGGACATATAAACAATGAGCTGAAACTCACTATAAAACTCTGTAAAAGCCGAGGGGAGCTGCAGATTCAGGTGATTATTCTCTCTAGGTGTGTCAATACGAGCGAAACCTTTCACTACCCTACTCTGTTTCAAACTGTTGCTTTAAAACAGAAAGAAAAGTGTTGTAGCCACAGTTGCAACAATATATAACATCTGATAAAGGGAGTGACTGATGAGTCCATTTGACCATCCCTGCCTCATGCCCAGTCAGTCACATTGCTCACATACAGAGCCGCACTCCACCCCTCTGTCTGCCCTCTAGCAGTTGGCACAGTGGTGTCATCTCAAGCTCTCAGCTGTTACTGTGGCGTTACCACTGACTGGACCGGCAGCTGTTGAGGGCTGCAGCAACATTTACTGCTTTATCATCTACAGCTTAGAGCATCAGGAAACTGGGGTGAGGATGAAACATATGGATTTTCAGGAGTTTTTGGCATTCCCTTACATCACAGTTATGGATGAACACCGAGTGTGATTCATCTTTTAAAATATCTCAACACTCTTAGATCTCACTGACCTACTTAATCACAGAAATAGAGACTAAATGATTGCAAAACATTTAATTGTTTATCTTTTTTTGTGAACAAATTCTGATTTAAGAAATGTCAGATACATGGGCCCATGCACATTTCAACACAAAGACATTACGTAGAGGCATTTTGATAGAGATAAACACAGGTCAGGTGTGTTAAAAATGTACATATCTGCAGTGCAGTTTTCCTTGAAAGCTTCAAACAGGAATCCAGACTCTGGAGTCGTTGTAAAAGAAGGACTGCTTTGGCAAAATTAGTGGATCGTAGAAACCTGGAAAGAGAGAGAGAAAGTTCACATGAGCAACTGAAATACTTTAATTAAGACTTAATATATGTTTTTGCTAATGCTAACAGTTCAGTTAGCAATTCTGAACATGTGTGTCTGTCTCATACAGTCAGAGAAAGTAAGACGCAGTAACACATCTTACTTTACTTTCATACGTGGACAAACTGGGCCCAAAATGAATCGTGCACTTTGTCTGAAAGTTTAAGTCAAGTTGAATTTTCTATAACAGGACAGCGACCAGCTGCACTTCTCTCTTGCCTCAGGCGATAAAGAGACAAAGATGAACGTTCAGTGAGCGACCGCCTTGGTCTCTTGCTGAAATCCCAAAACTCAGGGTCATTCCCTCTTTTAATGTGTCACACAGTTTGATGTAGGTGGAGAATTTACCCATTCAGCTGCAGGCCATAAATGCTACTTGTATTAATCTTCCTCTCAGGGTCATTTATTGGTTGGTTGGTGGCTGTATTGGACATTTTCTTCCGATTGCATCAGTGTGTGAATGAGTGAATGTGACACAGTGTACAGCGCTTCGAAGACTAGAAAGGTGCTGTATAAGTACAATCCATTTATCATTAACATCACCATGGCCAATAAATAAATAACACAGGTGAAGGTAGAACAAAACGTAAAGTCAGAGTATCTTTGAGCAGCTGTTACAGTCAATTCTCTCTGACTTTATAGATGTGAGGGTCAAAACTTAGAAT